TGTCTTTAAAAAATTATATTGCATACTTATATTTATGTGCTAATTTAAAACAAAATTTTAAGAATGATAGATATGCTTGTACTTACTAACTAAGAAAAATTCTGTTTCAACTGAAGAAAAAAAGACCACATCAGTAACTCAATAAAAATGATATATGAAAAATTTCATAAGTTAACTAAAATCTGGAACATTTAGTAATGAGAGATCTGTATCTCACTTGTAAACTTTCTCAGACTGTAACATAAGCAGACAATCATTTAAATAACGAGAGAGAACAGTATGAAAATTTACACCAGTGCAGGTAAAAATTTAAACCACTGAGAAGATAATACGCTATAATGAACAAACATTAGAACCTAACAAAATAAATTCAGTATGATGTAACATCAAATGAAAATAGTACTAGACTGAATTTTTAAACATTAAGGTATACATGATTGGATCAATAATAATCCTTCACATTCACTGTCAGAATAACAGATGAAATAAATTTTATAGTCAGTATTTTCACATACCTACATCATGAATGTATCTTTCAATCCTGCCCTGAATTCCCCAGTACCCAAACTCCACTCTACATAACTTATACACACACATTATAGCTCTTCCATCGGTCTTGGGTGCTTCCCTGTATTCTCGCACCCAGGTGTCAGAGAGTGGACCTCTACCAGTATGTTTAGAAACATAAAGCTTTGGATCCTCCTCCTCTTTGTATTCATTTCCATAGAGTTGGTCCTTTACCATATCAATAACATCTATATTAATAAAAAAAATACAAGCCTTAAAATAAAATGTATAAAATGTGGCAGGGATTATACACTAATCTCCAATCATCACTGGTCCACATAGTACTACATATACTTTAGACATAATGTTGGTACCTTCCTGCTTATAAGCTGTACTAAGTAATATTGTAAAAAACACATTTAATTTATCTCATCACATGTTTAGCAACCAAGGAATACTGTATATATAGAGAGAAGGCAGTCATTTTACCTTTATGAATGATATATGCATGAATTAAGTCTGCTACCTGTTTTTCTGAAATCAGATACCTGTCAGTTAAGTTGTGAATGCTTGAGGGGGGAGTTAACAATGTATAAATAGCTGAAATAACTCAATTTTAAGTTGCAATATCTAATGAGAATCTTTCCACAAAAAAAGAGCAGTTGTCTCATGTTTTGTTGTAAAGATAAGCATTCCATGCTTCCTGTTCCACAGACAGCACTGATTTAGGAATAATGAGTCTGATACATCCTGGCACATAACAATCAATTGCCGAAAAAATGTTTTGATGAATATCTGTCATCACTGGTTCACATTTCCTGTTTCAGTGCATAACTACAAAGTAAGCTATCTGTTCTGTGTCCACTACGGGGATTGAATACCAAATTTTATATTTACACAACATTACACTTACTGCAGAGCTAAAGTTATACTTACTGCAGGACACTCTTTAGTTTCAGAGCTCTGTATTTTTTTAAAAATGGATGTTACTTGTATGAATTTTGTAAATGAATTCTAGGAGAGAGGGTTACTCACTAGCCACATTTAGACATAACCGTAGAATTAGATACACAACAGTCATTTAGAACCAATTCCCCAGCCTTGTTGTGTATAGATAAGCATGAAGGTTCCTGTTTCAAACCAACCAAACTTATAATGAAAAACTGGATAATACCGATACTTTTTTTTTAAAGTGATTTAGTTTACAGCTAAAACTTACAATTTCCTTCACTTTCACAAAACAATCAATTGTTGAAAAATGTTTTGGTGAACGTTTGTCATCATTGGTCCACATTTCCTGTAGATGTTGTCAGCCACTATATGAAAACAGATAGATGCTTAGGTGGTACTTTTGCAAGATTACCTGAGGAATACCACCACATATATTAAGGCCACTTTTGCAAAGTTACACAGATAATGTAGTGCCGACATAAAAATGTGCAGGTGCCTCTTTTGCAAAGTTGTGTTAGTATCATCATTAAATATTAATTACCTTTTTGATGATTAATTGGCAGCCAATTATATAAAAAAAAGGTAATTAATCCTAAGAATGCCAGTATGGTTAGTTTAGTGTACAGGTTTAATTTGTATGGGGTCATAGTGATAAATGATCCCACGCTGGCATTCTAAAGTTAATAGAAATAAATATTAGGATCTCTTAAGGCCATGATTTTTTTATTTGTTAAAAAGATTAGCTGTTGTGTAATCTAGCATTTATACTTGACGGACAATCTTTGGCAAGCTAATGCTTGATGACAAGCTAGTATTTCCAAACTTCTCTACAGTGGACACAGTGCAGATAGCCCATTGGGTAGTTTTGCACTAAAAAAGACAACAACCTCATTTGCACTACTATTTTTTTTTAAGTTCAATTTGCTAGTTTCACATTTAAATGCCATAATACTTTATATTATAAATTTTTATAAGGATTCATACTCAGATTTTTTAATAACTTTTTTTAGTCCAATCAGATTGTGAAAGTGACCTGATAATAAGAGATATCTACTGTAAACTGAAACTGGCATTATATGTAGCTATTTACAAGTAATATTACTTGTGTGATCTGCTGTATTTTCCTGCTTCCAGTTATATAGTCAGCTTACGTTTACAACAGAACATCTACATTTACAAGTCTTCATAATAAGTAGTGAAAAGATAAACTCTGATGACTACTATGTGCTGGTGCTTACCATCAAAATGATAAAGACCAAATGAATTGTTCTGTGAAAACATCTTAAAAGTATCAGGATGTTTGACATCATGTTCACTTTTTGCTTTAAATTTTTGACAACGTCAAGTTTAGGTGAACCTCTCAGTCTTGTCCAATAACTACAGTTGATAAATAATGTGTTTAAAAAAAAAAGTCCAGATACTGGATTTCTAATACAACATTTTGGTCCTACAAATAAACTTGTTTTTTTGTTACAATTTCTATGATTAAGAATACTTCTATATACAATACTATACACAAACATGCTAATATCATTTTGTGTCCCTAGACCTTCTGAAAAGAAACCTGTAAAAATCCTGCTGTTTGATAATGCTGATTTTCTTAGAACCAACTGAGATAAATTGAGGTGATTATTAGACTAAAAAGGGTGTGGAAAGATTATAATGATTAATTTTCTTTTTTGTTACAAAATACAGAACAATGTAGTGTAGCAAAATAAGAAGTATAAGTTAATGGAAATTAAATCTAAAACTAACAGAAAGTATTGGTCTACTCACCAATTTCTCTGCTTTCTAGCTCAGAAGGAGACAAGTTGAAAACATTTTTCTGGTCACCAGCATCATCAAAATACTTAGTCTCAATATCTAATGAGAATCTTTCTAAAAAAGGGCAAGTATATCGTGTCTTGGTGTATGGATACGCATTCCATGCTTCCTCTTTCACGGTCAATGCTGATGTAGGGATAAATGGTCTAATCCATCCTGTTAAAAAAAAATAAAGATGTAACTCTTCCAACATTTTTAACCAGTATTTTAACAATTTCTAAATCATTAATTGCTTTCCGAACACCAAAATGTTTATACTAACTATCCCCCTTTTCAAATATCCATGAAGAATATTTATTTGTGCTCATTAATTGCTTTCTGAACACCATAATGTTTATACTAACTATCCCCCTTTTCAAATATCCATGAAGAATATTTATTTGTGCTCATTAATTGCTTTCTGAACACCAAAATGTTTATACTAACTATCCCCCTTTTCAAATATCCATGAAGAATATTTATTTGTGCTCATTAATTGCTTTCTGAACACCAAAATGTTTATACTAACTATCCCCCCTTTTCAAATATCCATGAAGAATATTTATTTGTGCTCATTAATTGCTTTCTGAACACCAAAATGTTTATACTAACTATCCCCCTTTTCAAATATCCATGAAGAATATTTATTTGTGCTTAAGGGTCAGCATTCAAAATGTAGATAGGACAAATGCTGCATTCTACTTGTCCAACCACCTAAATAAAATCACTGTTTTTTTCCTTACAGTATTCTTATATTATCATTTTAAAAATCAGCTGTTACATCTTAAAGCATCCTTCACAAACTCCTATGTTCAAGTATAAATATTTATTAATCCTATACATATTAATTTGTTGTAAGCTAACAAAATAATTTTCTAGAGTTTCCATTTCTAGACGTTTCATATAAAAAATATCAAAGAGTGTATTTAATGATAAAGTAACAAATATTCTGTAATGCTTGGTAGTATCATACTTGTTTTAATATACACAATACCCAAGAAATGATTAAAATCCTTTGAAATAAATGTAAAGTTATGAGAATTCTTAGGTTTTTCATCTAATTTTGTTTTTCAGCTGATTTTTCTTTACTCGTCTGCTTTTGTGATCTCAAAAGAGATCATTATTAGGAGCTGACTAGTTAACAAGATTAAGCCAAACTAGTTTTATTCTGACTGTATGATAGACAAGTTCTAAATGTATAGCAAGTTAAAATCGTGGGTTAGAGTATCAAAATCTGTATCCAATGTTTGCTTGATGGGTTAATGAACATTTGAGACAATGATATACATAACAGCAAATTCACTGCCAAACAGCAAGAACCTTAAGACAGTTACATCTCAGATGTAAATTCAATTATCAGGTGATTTAGAATTCAGTTTATGTTATTTCTATTTTTATTCCGAATTTTTTCTGACCACTGTTGTAGCACTTGAAGATCTTTAAGGCACTAACAATTACCTGATTTTAAAGAAACTAACTAAAAAATACTATATAATTCAATTAACAGAATTAAGTAATATCTTTAAAAATTCTTGATGTACACATTAGAGAAAAGATGCAAAAGAATAAAGTTGGCATCTCACAGGAGAGCAAATGTGTAAATTTCCTTAGTAAGATGGGATATACCTTGACTATCAAAGTACGAGAAATAAAAAATATCGTTTAATTATCACAAGTATGGATATTAAATGTACAAGTCCACCTCAGTAGCATGGGAAACAACAAAAACATGAAGAGACATAAATGAATCTAGTTTCATTGATACTCTTAACATTCTAAGATGTATACAAAAGAAAGATTCAAATTCATAAATCTCAGAAAGTAGTCTCTTGGCAAGCTACTTTAAGGCACAGCTCAAGGGGTTCTACCAACAAAACAAGGCTTGAACAGTAGTCTGTTGACAAGCTACTTTAAGGCACAGCTCAACAGGTTCTACCAACAAAACAAGGCTTGAACAGCAGTCTGTTGGCAAGTTATTTCATTGCATTGCTCAAGAAGTTCTGCCAAAAACTTTATACAAAGGCTGAAGTGATGAAAGAGGTGCAGCTAGTTTCACACTATAAATCCAGGACAAGACAAGCAAATGAAAAGTGGTAGCCGGATAGTACAAAATATGATGAAAGCAGCTGAAGTGGAAAATCCACTGGAGGCAGAACAAAGTTTTGTTGTGTCTACTCACTTCCCAAGAAAGCTACTGTGCAGAAAACAGTAAAAACATGGATTATAAAACAGATTTGTTAAGTGACTGAAATTAACTTATGAAAAGCTGAAAGATAAAATGAAAACAAGAATTAAAACATATGGTGACTCAAAAAAAGGAAAGATCCCTGGCTCATCCCCCCAAATAAACTATAGTAACCTAAAAACGGATCTTAAGAAAATACTGCCATAATACTGACATTGGAAAATGTCACAGCTGATTCTGAATCAGAAGGTTTAGATGAGAAAAATTCTGTTTGGGATAAGAAATGGTCCGAGGTCAATATCTTTTAACAGGAAGATACAATTCTATTGGAAACATAAGTAAAATAACTCAAATATCACAGAAACTAAAGTCAAGATCAGACGATTCATCATGTATGTTGTTAGAAAACTTACACAGAAAACTTTAGGGCCATAGTGAAATTAAGATAGATTTTAAACAGACACCTCTGGTGTTAGGTTAATGTCATGAGAAAAAAGCTATAAATATTGATAGGTATAAGGTAGGAATATAAAATATGCATCCAAATTAGCCTTCAAGCTGTTCAGTGACAAGAGGTTCATCAAAGATCCAGATGTGATTCCCTCCTCTTCAAAGGCTGAGTTATTGACTTGAAAGGTTGAGAAAGCAAACCTTGTAGTCCTCAGAAGCCCCATGACGCTAAATACGACTCAAAATTAAAAACCTCAAAAATAATAATACAAATTAGAAAAGGAAAGTTATCAGAAAAACAGAGAAAATTACCCATATAAGGCTGGGTAGGTAGGATTCAACTGTTTATTGTTCTGTTTCATCCCAGTAACTAAATCAATAAGTTGGTTATGAAATTAGAATCTCTAGTATACAAATTACATTTATACTAAATTTTCTATAAAAACTGCATCCTAAAACAATTAACTTTACACTCACCAGGTACATGGCTATCAATATGGTAAACTTTATAAGTGTACTGGCCCTTTCCCCCTGGTCCATTATAATAAGGTTCATTAACCAGGATTTCCAAACCATTTCCTGCTCCTTGTGATTCTTCTCGACTTTTTTTCTGTATTTTATGAAAACATAATTATTGCTTATTAGAATTTAACCTCCATTTAGACAAGAAGAGCAAAGCTGAAGGACCAAACTCAAGGTTATAGGCTATATTAATCAGACCTGTAAATTTAGCAAGCTTTTTTATGATTATGACAAACTTCCAAACAGAGACCCTAAAAATTATCTCTTAAGTTCAAACTTTTCCATATCATATATTGTGAATCAATTTTTCTATTTTTCAGAGTTTATTTACCATATTTATAAATTATAACAGCATGAAACCACTTTCTACACAAAATTTTTTCTTTCATCACTTTATTTTTTGCAATTAAACTATATGTATATAGTTCATAAATGCTTATAAGAAAAAGACAAATCTGTAAGATTCACCACATAATGTATTCACACTTTCAAATCATATAAAAAAAAGATACACTTTTTGTAGTCCAATCTGTCTTTGTCAAATACACACGAGTTTCTAATTTAAATTGTCAATAACACCATACATCAATAATAAACAACTTATTCTATTTTAGTAAACGGTATTTTCTTTGCATCTCGACCCTCCATGATAAAAGTTAAAAATTAGAGAAAACATTGAAAATTTCTGCCAAATCAATAAGGGAAACTTTATAGTGTATTCCAAGCATGATTAATGGTTTATCTTTGCCAATTTATCACCATCTTCAAAACTATCTTTTAACATTACTTAAAATATTTATTTGCAGAGAAATTATATTTTGTAAATACAAGGCTTGAAAGTAGTGGGGATTTGGGAGCCAATTGCTCCCAAAAATACCGACGGGTCCATAAAAAGTGTCTGCTAGATAACCCATGTGGTCCCTCAAAATCAAAAGAGCAATTAAAAGTTTGACTCCACATAATTTAATCTAAGCATTTCTTAACCGAGCAGAACTTATGATAAACCATGAATGGACCACAATCCACAAACGTCATCACTATGAATGCCCATGTATTCAAAGTACTTTCATTAATAAGAATGCCATCACTTTGTCCAATATTCAAACTTTTGTATCAGTGTAATAGAATTGATGTACGAAATTTCATTTACAAAATTTGAAATATAGTGATTATTTGAACTTTTATAAAGATGACTGCTACTTTTTTAAAGTTTTTATATATGACACCAAGCCTGCATCAAGGCTCACACATTTGAAAGATGTTCATACAAGTTTTTTTTGTCAACACTTTCCAAAAACAGGCAATTAAAATTACAAACCCTTTTGAATCCAACTTTGCAGACTGCACTAGCCAAAAACACAACAACATAATATCACTGTTTTACAGATCATGTCATAATCAGAAATCATCGATTGCGGATAATTATAGAGCATAATCGGCCCAATTCCGACTGCTGATGTCATTGTGTAGTATTGTTGACAGTTTAACTTTAAAAATTATAACGACTAGAGAACGTATTTTGATGCTTCATTAAATTTGAAATGGTTGAAGTTTTCGATAAAAGTGCCATGCAAAAAAAATCATGATCTATTTTCCGTTTTTTATTTAATGAGTGAAAAATAAAAATGGGGACTGACCCTGTGGCCAGTACATGATCAATACATAATGTTATGTGACCGTTTTGAGAGACAAACACATTGTTAAGGTTCATTATTCACTTCAGCCATAAGTTTGACGACTTTTACTTACACTCAACACATTTTGAACTAAACCATTTCATAAACTAAACAAAGTATTCCAACCAAAGGTCAAATAAAGTGACATCATTTGAAAGTTTTTGTTCGTAAAGAGAAGAATCTTCAAACCAGTTGCCGAAATTTGTTTTTTAAATTGGCCTGATTAAAAATGCTCCAAACTGTATCTTTATTGCAAACGTAATGATCAACTTCAAAAAAAGAAAAAGAAATTATAACTTTAAATACATTATGATAAAAAAGACCAAGATCGTCCTGGTAGAATTATTTATAATTTATCACCTGACTTAACATACTTGCTGTCATCGAATGTGTTTCAAATCTCAGCACTTACAATGTGTCACTTTTGACATTTGTCTCAAAAGACAAAATTTTAGCTTTTACTGTTGATAAAGATTTATACACTCCTGTTAGCTACAAGTGCAACGGGCAGTCCATTATGACAATTATTCACCTTCATGATTCTTGTTTTCAACTATTTGCTTCATACTCGAAAAACCCAGATACCTAGTTTTTCTCATTCAGAAGCAATCCAACCAATCAGCAATCATGTTTGTTGAGCCACAACTAACTTTAAGGTAACTTCTTGGAACTATGCATATTCATAAATAACGGGACTGTGAAATAATGAAATGTAATGTTCCATAGCTGTCCAATAGGTGATATATATGTATATATATGTATGTATCTGTTTACCACTTTCAACTTATAGTAGCATTTCCAACAGTGATATGCTCAATTCAAACAACTGACACCCCCCCCCCCTACTGAAAAGTAATAGGACATTCCAAATTTCCAATTGCTCTGTTGTCATGCTCTCTTCGGTGACCTCCCCTAACAATAAAAAATTTTTATAAAATAGTTGTTTTTTTTCTTTTAGCAAGGGTCTATTTTATAACATTTTTCGTTTTGGAGCAATATAAAGCTATTATTAACTTATTTCATTAACTTAAAGGAAGGTTTGATAAATATTTGAATGATTAGGGTGGCTCTGAGGTCTGATTTTATTTTGTTTTTTGTTTAATGAATGGAATAGCCTAACTGGACTGACAGGTGCCTTGCTGTCCTTGAATTATTAAGTGAACACCAACTACTTATATTTTGTAAGCTTAATTACTGTACAATATCAACCAATACAAATTTTAACTTACTGCAATCATATACAGCTGAGCTACCTGATATTCCTTCACTGTTAATGGGGTTGGAATTCTATATTCTTTGACCAGCATTTCTGTGTCCTGTAAAAATGTATATAGACAAAAATATTGGATATTTCTTTTATGACATTACTGACCAGTTATAAATCAACAAAATGAAACTTTCTAACAAACTTTTTATGTGAAAACCTGATATGTGAAAAAAAACAACTCTAAGCCTCTTTTCACTTATTGACTTTTTAACCTACTTTATATTAGGAAAATTACTAACCAAATATTTATTCACAAATACTTTTTATCACCTTAACATACAACATCAGAAATAAATGGACAGTAATGAATAAGATGAAATGATATAATTGATGGTGGAGGGAGTGCATGTGAATGTAAAAAAAAAAAGACTTCCTTCCAAGTAATTTTGTATGAACAAAAGAGACAATAAAAAAATAATTACTTATAGCACTATAGTTTTTGTCAAATTATTGTTTTGTGAAATAACACTCATTCAGATGTTATAAAAATGACTGTCAATACAGATGAATGCCAATATATACTACAGAAGATGGTAGTTTGGACTTTGCTCTTAGTACTGAGGAAGACATGTTCAAACAAAAGTATTTATTAATCTTTATGATCATAACATTATTAACTTTAACTGACTGTGCATTGGACCAACCCTGTATTGGAATAGGAATGTTGACTATACTTTTGAATTTACTGCATGTATTACATAAAATGTAATAAATGCTTAGTAAAATGTACAAGTCTGTTGTACACAAAAAATCATGTGTTACAAAAGTATTTTTACTCAAGGTATATCTATGAATTGACAATGCAGACTCTAGCAAGTCAGGGTGAAAGGTGATATTCATGTGAAAAATAAAAAATACTTTTGTCCATCATACAGTTTGTTTAGCCTCTAGAGCCTTGGAAATGTATAACTACAGTTTTTGGTAGTATTCCTGTGTAATGTATCAGGTATTTACTCTCATCTACAAAAATGTAGGATAAAATGAATAGTTGATAACTCTGACATCAAATGCATAATACCATGTTGAATGGCACTCTGTAAAAGGTTGTGAATATGCACACTTGGACCTCCAGCCACGCACACAGAGTTAATGACACAACTTATGAAATTTATAAAAGTACACTGGGTGCTTATTCCAGGAAATCTTCTATTTAATTAGATGAAACACATAAAGCTGAGCTCCAAACATTTTCAAATACCTGAATCAAATTATGTTTAATCCCTCTAAACTTCATCAAAAATAAAGAAAACTGTTTACGCTTTTTTATTAGGTATATGTTAATTGTTTTAAGCCTACTATACTTGTAGTATCATTATTTTTAGTGATGTTTCTCTATATAGATAAGAATACTAAAACTGAACACAAGTGTTCCAAATGCAGTCAAACTAGAGAATACAAGATAAAATTACAATATTATTGTTGATTTAAAAAATACAAGAACCTGATTGAGTTTAGGCATTATGACAAAATTAGAAACTCTGCAAAGATCAGAATGCATTCTAGAAACTTAGATATACACTTGTTCTTAAATTTTGGGAAAAACTTAATTTAGCATAATGTTTTTGTACTTTTCACATTTATCCATCCACCAATGAAGTGGATTGTGCTTGTATGTCTATCAGTGGCAGGAATTATTTATTTAGATAATTTTATGGATGAGAGTACATAATTAAACTTCTTTGGAATTATTAATGTGTTTGATTTAAATATTAAATACAAAAACCACAACAGATGTCTCTTGCCATTATCTACACATGTAGATCTACTTAACAAGATTTTGAAACTGAAGACAAAGTTATTCAATTTCATATCTCAATCCTTGTATAAAATACTTAAAAGGCCTCTTTTATAATAATGCGATCAGTTTGGGACAGCTTATAACAAAAAGGATAAGTATATGCCATAAAACTATTAGAATGATACAGATATTCAACTTAAGAAATGTAAGCTAGGAAGTGAACCTTAAAGATTTGGATTTTATAAAGCATTACAAGGCCTAGAAGCAACGTTTCACAGATTCTAAAATTTACTGTGGATTTAAATAAACCAACCACAAGATATATACTTAAGTAGCAAAATGATAAGGTAAGAATAATAAATACATGCTTTGGAAATAATTAATTCTGTGCTAGTGCTAGATACTGAATGTTTATTTAACGTGTTGTTCAATAGTTCATTCTAGGTGAAAGGGAATATTTAGCTTAGTTTAGTGATTTTACTCTTAACAGTAATTAAAGAAGGTATGGTGATCTGGATTGTAATCTATCACCTTATTAGATTTTATTATGTTTTTTTTTATGATTTATGACCAAAAAGCGCTATGGTGATTATACTGATGATTTAGTCCTTATAAATAATTGGGTACTACTGCATTTCTCTTAGACCGTACAAATAGAATCAAATAATTTAGTTCTACAACACACTTTGCTTACACAAGGAGTCAAGCGTAGGCTTGTAAAAATGTAAATTACAAATTAGTTAATTATAACAAAAACTTAACTTATAATTAAAATACTCAACAGTTTACAATAACAATTAACACACACCCTCGCTCTTCAATTTAAAAGATATTACGATAACAATTTTAATAAATTTTCTCACAATTATGTTGCAAGTTGCAAAAACAAATCATTCATATTTAAATTTTGGATGGACTTTGAAGAATTCATCGTACAAAATTACATGAATTTTGATGTTAATACTCTACTTCTATAAGTAGGTTAAAGTTCTTAAATTAAACTCAAGGAAACATCATAAGGAAATTGAGTTACAAATTAACGGTGGCGTCACCTATGAAGAATTATATACATGTTTTTAAATACATAATAACTCTTTATTATTTCATTGTTTTTGATATTCATTATTTCGTTCTTGATCAAATTAATGTACATTTTAGTTTAAGCTACTTATTAACTTCTGATAAGAACAAGCTACATACTTCGAGCCAAACTAATAATCAACCTGGAAATCAGTATAGCTAATTAAATATACTAATTAAATATGGCTGGAGACGGCTT